AAGGTAAGAATCATTATTACACTCATACCTTTTGTTCTTTAATATTTTGAATTGTTTTTAGCTTTATTTTTTGTTTTTCATTTAAATGTTAAGTTTTGAAATTTTGTTGTATGCATTTTTAGTTGTTTTAATACTACAATTGATTGCTTCTGTCGTCCTCATTTGTAAGTCGCTTTGGATAAAAACGTCTGATAAATTACTAAATAAATAAATAATTTGTGTTCCGAAGATGAACGGAGGTCTTACGGGTTTGGAACGACATGAGGGTGAGTAATTAATGACAGAATTTTCATTTTTGGGTGAACTATCCCTTTAAATATTTAGGCTTTTTTTTTAGATTTAATTTAAAAACTAAATTTTTCAAACATTGCCTAAAAAAGGACACATCAAAAAAAGAGCCTTAAATGATCTCTTTACCTGTAGAAGCTGCTAAAGGCAACACAGACTTGTTGCTGCTGTAGTTTTGTGACTCTGATTTTACTCTGCATCACTTAATGCACAGCTCTGTTTTGACATTGACTTGTCAGATAGTTCGTTCCGTCCATGATTGCTGCAGTTATCACCGTCAATCGCGAATCAATTTGGCGGATTCACTTGCGTAATTTTTTACACTCGCGTTTGTCATTCCTGAAACAGTATACGTGGACGGTCCTCTTTAACTTTCTTCAAACTGTAAATGTAGTATGTAAGAGACACCGAGCATGCTTTGTGTCAATATATTTTTAACATTTAAAAGAAATTTAATATAGTGTCTTGATGTTATCATGAGCGGCCATACATTAAATTAATAAACAAAAAAACATAAGTTATTCTAGTTGGGCCTAAACTTAAAAAAAAAAAGTTTCAAAAGGTAAAAAAAATGTACCTTTCACATCTTAACCTGAAAAGTTGTACCTTTATAACTCGTTTTGGGTGCATAAATGCACCCCTAAGGACCTGTTGTTGATGTTTGATTCCCCTAGAAACAAAATTGTACCGGCTCAGAACCTTTTTTTCTGACAGTGAAAGAGAATGAACAAAGCCCAGCTTAATGACTTGTAGCGCCCTGGACTCGGGCCATCTTCAAGCACCGGGCCACAGTAGCAGGCCTTCAAGTCTGGGCCGTGCCCCAGATTTCGCTGCTCCCAGGACCTACTCTGCTCCTCCCTCCACTCAGCTACACACCACAGCTTTCCCCGGTGCTGGGCCTCATTTGGCAATGTCTGCCTCCCTCCATGGCCGCCTCCCCCCTAGCGAGAGTATGCCTCCTCTAGCGGCGCTAGCTCATATGTCTCTAACCCTCTCCCCTGTCGGTGGCCTGCCTCTGCTTGTGGCACAGGCTCAATCTTCACAGCTTTTTCCTCCCGGCGTCTCTAACCCTGTCTCCTATCCATGATCTACAGCTCTAACAGCAGACACTAGCGTGAGGGTGCCTCAACTAACAGCAAAGGCCTAGATGTGTTATTTTCCTGCCCAGTTTCCCTCTTTCC